GGTCCCCTCCAACGTACCGTCCAGGAATGGGCAGCTCCACGTCGTGGATACCTCTTCCTTCGTGACATCTCCGTGGTCATGGTATATCAATACGCTGGTGTGCTCGACAACGGCCTCTCCTTTCACCAGCTCGAATACCGCAACCCATCCAGAACCACCCCCGGAGACCTCATGTGTGCTCTTCGCGCCCTTGGAGCAACAGACGCAATCATCCAAAGCCACACCCGTATGTCGGGAGCACATGGACCACGGGACCACTGGGCGGCCAATGGCTGTCTCAACTGGCCCTCCGAAGGTCAATACCGCTTCCGCCTCGTCTTCCCCAGCCAAACCATGGCTGAAAACGTATACGCCACCTTTTGCCGCCATGCAGCGGGCCCCGAAAGACTTGAATTGGTCCCGCAAGCCCCGAGTGCCGCCACACTTGTGGACACCAAAGTGCGCATTGGCCGCCTCCCACCCCTCACGACTACAGACGACATCCTCGCGGGGCTTTTGGGTCCCGCCTTCCCATCCCAGACGTCGACATCACCGGGGATGGATATGCCTTCGACACCCCAGCCCCCGTTGCCTTCCTCTGGTCCGCCTAAGGCCCCCATGAGGACACTCGACTCTATATTCGGGACATCGCCGTCCACCTGCATATCCTAACTGGTCGCCCCCGCCCGTACACCGCGCATGTACAGTGCCGCGACTGCGGTAGACATGACCACCTGGGCGAACCCTGTGACCGTTTCACCTATCTGCCCTCGCGATCGGACCCGCAGCAAATCCCAGCACAAACCTTCTGCACACGACACCGCGCGCGGATCCGACACGCACACACGCGGCAAAAGTAGCCACCAAGGCGTGGGACAGTACTCCCGATCTGCCCCCCAACACTCGGCCCCGGAGGAACGCATACCCCAGGCCTGGCAACTACCCCTTCAGCGTCACCCGGCCCAGGCACCTAGACCCACCGCCGATCTCAGTCTATACCTACGTCGTGAGCTCTCCACCTACGTGGATCAACGCATCGTAACAGCCACGGCCCCACTACGTCAAGAGGTTGAATCCTTACGGGCTGACAAAGAAGCTCTAGCAGCCCTTGTCTCTGCTTCCAGCACTGCATTCTCCACCCTCGATGCGCGCCTACTCGAAGAACGACGCCTCCGTGAAGCCGCCGAACTACTACAGGCAGAGGACAACAAATCACGCACCGAGGCCCAAATCCGCTTACACACAGCTATAGCGCAACACGAGGCACAACAGGCCGCACTAGCTGAGCGCCTACCCTTCCTTGAATCCAGCGTACACACCCTCCTGCAAGCGATGCAATCCGTTTCCTCCCAAATGACTGCACTGGCAGGCCTTGGGCCC